TAATTGAATTGTATGGCCCAGGCCCGATTATTTACAGACCGTCGTTATAAAGCTGGAATATCGATGAGTGCGGCTTTAAGCAACAGCCATACGAGCGTAAGAATCCATTTGGGTGTGTGTCTGCAGGACTCTTCTTTCGTGTGAAGGCATTGTACGGCCGCTTCTTCCAACAGCTGGGCGGTACACGCGACAGCTTCAACGAATGCTGTATTCGGACACGGACACTTATATGGAATGAACAATGATTTGACCCTGCGGCTTTAAACAAACAAAACAAAGAATAGCAGGACCGTACTCAAGATGTTTACACGATACCTTTATTTTGGCTTTACAATGCCTGGTTGATACATTTAAAAACCAAATGCTTCATACTGTGTAAACACCAGCATCGTTCTGCCGTTGTCAGAAATTCATCCCGTAACATCTACAACAAGTAAAATAATTACATAATAAAATAATTAAATAAAGAGATATTACGCATGCTTTAGCATAATCACGACGAGGGATACCAAGAATTGCTTCTCACACAATGATAGGGGTTGTAATCCGGGTCCTTGCCTTGTCACTTGGTAACCCCAGCGTCTGCAGTGATGGGCAACGGGAGCGTAATAAACTGAATTCATGAAGTCAGTGTTTTCATCCATAGATCTAGAATTCCCATGTGTTTTCAATATTTCCATGCGTTCGTTGTATTTTTCCTCACGACAGGGGGTCACTGTGTGTGTGTCTGCATGATGTAAGGGGGGTCACGGTATGTCTGCATGAAGTCAGGTCACTGTATCTGTACGAAGTCAGGAGGTCACTGTATGTATGTATGTCGTCAGGCTACTGTATGTCTGTATGTCGTCAGTTCACTGTGTGTCTGTATGACGTCAGGTTATTGTGTGCCTTTATGACGTCAGGGCACTGTGTCTCTATATGACGTCAGGGGGTCACTGTATGTTTGTTTGTCGTCAGGTCACTGTTTGTCTGTATGACGTCAGGTCACTGTTTGTCTGTACGACGTCAGGGGGTCACAGAGATGGAGATAAGGCATCACAGGGACAGAGATAAGGCATCACAGGGACAGAGATAAGGCATCACAGGGACAGAGATAAGGCATCACAGAGATAGAGATAAGGCATCACAGGGACAGAGATAAGGCATCACAGAGATAGAGATAAGGCATCACAGAGACAGAGATAAGGCATCACAGAGACAGAGATAAGGCATCACAGAGACAGAGATAAGGCATCACAGAGATAGAGATAAGGCATCACAGAGATAGAGATAAGGCGTCACAGAGACAGAGATAAGGCGTCACAGAGACAGAGATAAGGCATCACAGAGACAGAGATAAGGCATCACAGAGACAGGGTTAAGGCATCACAGAGATAGAGATAAGGCGTAACAGAGACAGAGATAAGGCATCACAAAGATGGGGATAAGGCATCACAGAGAGATTGAGATGGGACATCACAGAGACAGAGATAAGGCATCACAGAGATAGAGATAAGGCATCACAGTGATAGAGATGAGGCATCACAGAGATGAGATAAGGCATCACAGAGACAGAGATAAGGCATCACAGAGATAGAGATAAGGCATCACAGAGATAGAGATAAGGCATCACAGAGACAGAGATAAGGCATCACAGAGACAGAGATAAGGCATCACAGAGACAGAGATAAGGCATCACAGAGACAGAGATAAGGCATCACAGAGATAGAGATAAGGCATCACAGAGATAGAGATAAGGCGTCACAGAGACATAGATAAGGCGTCACAGAGACAGAGATAAGGCATCACAGAGATGAGATAAGGCATCACAGAGACAGGGTTAAGGCATCACAGAGATAGAGATAAGGCGTAACAGAGACAGAGATAAGGCATCACAAAGATGGGGATAAGGCATCACAGAGAGATTGAGATGGGACATCACAGAGACAGAGATAAGGCATCACAGAGACAGAGATTAGGCATCACAGAGATAGAGATGAGGCATCACAGAGATGAGATAAGGCATCACAGAGACAGAGATAAGGCATCACAGAGATAGAGATAAGGCATCACAGAGATAGAGATAAGGCATCACAGAGACAGAGATAAGGCATCACAGAGACAGAGATAAGGCATCACAGAGATGAGATAAGGCATCACAGAGATAAGGCATCACATAGACAGAGATAAGGCATCACAGAGACAGAGATAAGGCATCACAGAGACAGAGATAAGGCATCACAGCGACAGAGATAAGGCATCACAGAGACAGAGATAAGGCATCACAGAGATAGAGATGAGGCATCACAGAGATGAGATAAGGCATCACAGAGATAAGGCATCACAGAGACAGAGATAAGGCATCACAGAGACAGAGATAAGGCATCACAGAGACAGAGATAAGGCATCACAGAGATAGAGATAAGGCATCACAGAGATAGAGATAAGGCATCACAGAGACAGAGATAAGGCATCACAGAGATAGAGATAAGGCATCACAGAGACAGAGATAAGGCATCACAGAGACAGAGATAAGGCATCACAGAGATAGAGATGAGGCATCACAGAGATGAGATAAGGCATCACAGAGATAAGGCATCACATAGACAGAGATAAGGCATCACAGAGACAGAGATAAGGCATCACAGAGATAGAGATGAGGCATCACAGAGATGAGATAAGGCATCACAGAGATAAGGCATCACAGAGACAGAGATAAGGCATCACAGAGACAGAGATAAGGCATCACAGAGACAGAGATAAGGCATCACAGAGACAGAGATAAGGCATCACAGAGATAAGGCATCACAGAGACAGAGATAAGGCATCACAGAGACAGAGATAAGGCATCACAGAGACAGAGATAAGGCATCTCAGAGATAAGGCATCACATAGACAGAGATAAGGCATCACAGAGACAGAGATAAGGCATCACAGAGACAGAGATAAGGCATCACAGAGACAGGGTTAAGGCATCACAGAGATAGAGATAAGGCGTCACAGAGACAGAGATAAGGCATCACAAAGATGGGGATAAGGCATCACAGAGAGATTGAGATGGGACATCACAGAGACAGATATAAGGCATCACAGAGATAGAGATAAGGCATCACAGTGATGAGATAAGGCATCCCAGGGACAGAGATAAGGCATCACAGAGATAGAGATAAGGCATCACAGAGACAGAGATAAGGCATCATAGAGACAGAGATTAGGCATCACAGATATAGAGATGAGGCATCACAGAGATAAGGCATCACAGAGACAGAGATAAGGAATCACAGAGACAGAGATAAGGCATCACAGATATAGAGATGAGGCATCACAGAGACAGAGATAAGGCATCACAGAGATAGAGATAAGGAGTCACAGAGGCAGAGATAAGGCATCACAGAGATAGAGATAAGGAGTCACAGAGGCAGAGATAAGGCATCACAGAGATAGAGATAAGGCGTAACAGAGACAGAGATAAGGCATCACAAAGATGGGGATAAGGCATCACAGAGAGATTGAGATGGGACATCACAGAGACAGAGATAAGGCATCACAGAGACAGAGATTAGGCATCACAGAGATAGAGATGAGGCATCACAGAGATGAGATAAGGCATCACAGAGACAGAGATAAGGCATCACAGAGATAGAGATAAGGCATCACAGAGATAGAGATAAGGCATCACAGAGACAGAGATAAGGCATCACAGAGACAGAGATAAGGCATCACAGAGATGAGATAAGGCATCACAGAGATAAGGCATCACATAGACAGAGATAAGGCATCACAGAGACAGAGATAAGGCATCACAGAGACAGAGATAAGGCATCACAGCGACAGAGATAAGGCATCACAGAGACAGAGATAAGGCATCACAGAGATAGAGATGAGGCATCACAGAGATGAGATAAGGCATCACAGAGATAAGGCATCACAGAGACAGAGATAAGGCATCACAGAGACAGAGATAAGGCATCACAGAGACAGAGATAAGGCATCACAGAGATAGAGATAAGGCATCACAGAGATAGAGATAAGGCATCACAGAGACAGAGATAAGGCATCACAGAGATAGAGATAAGGCATCACAGAGACAGAGATAAGGCATCACAGAGACAGAGATAAGGCATCACAGAGATAGAGATGAGGCATCACAGAGATGAGATAAGGCATCACAGAGATAAGGCATCACATAGACAGAGATAAGGCATCACAGAGACAGAGATAAGGCATCACAGAGATAGAGATGAGGCATCACAGAGATGAGATAAGGCATCACAGAGATAAGGCATCACAGAGACAGAGATAAGGCATCACAGAGACAGAGATAAGGCATCACAGAGACAGAGATAAGGCATCACAGAGACAGAGATAAGGCATCACAGAGATAAGGCATCACAGAGACAGAGATAAGGCATCACAGAGACAGAGATAAGGCATCACAGAGACAGAGATAAGGCATCTCAGAGATAAGGCATCACATAGACAGAGATAAGGCATCACAGAGACAGAGATAAGGCATCACAGAGACAGAGATAAGGCATCACAGAGACAGGGTTAAGGCATCACAGAGATAGAGATAAGGCGTCACAGAGACAGAGATAAGGCATCACAAAGATGGGGATAAGGCATCACAGAGAGATTGAGATGGGACATCACAGAGACAGATATAAGGCATCACAGAGATAGAGATAAGGCATCACAGTGATGAGATAAGGCATCCCAGGGACAGAGATAAGGCATCACAGAGATAGAGATAAGGCATCACAGAGACAGAGATAAGGCATCATAGAGACAGAGATTAGGCATCACAGATATAGAGATGAGGCATCACAGAGATAAGGCATCACAGAGACAGAGATAAGGAATCACAGAGACAGAGATAAGGCATCACAGATATAGAGATGAGGCATCACAGAGACAGAGATAAGGCATCACAGAGATAGAGATAAGGCATCACAGAGACAGAGATAAGGCATCACAGCGACAGAGATAAGGCATCACAGAGATAGAGATAAGGCATCACAGAGACAGAGAAAAGGCATCACAGAGATAGAGATAAGGCATCACAGAGACAGAGATAAGGCATCACAGAGATAGAGATAAGGAGTCACAGAGGCAGAGATAAGGCGTCACATATGGATCTTTCCGTGTTTGACAAAGAATGCAAAAATCTTCCACCACACTGTCAATCCGTGGCCAGCAATACCTTTGCTTAATTTTTTCCAGTGTCTTTGCAAATCTCAAGTGACCACCAGTTACAGTGCTGTGTACATTTTGTGAAACCTTTTTCAAGACAATCAACTTTCTATTCTCTCCCTTGTCTGAGTACACACACAACACATCATTCTGAATCTCTTGGTGATTTCTATTTCCAGATATGTTTAACGCGTAATGAAGCTTCCTCCAGCTCTGCACGTGATAGATGTCTCTCCTCACAACAACAGTCTTAGCTAAAGACACCTTCACATCGTCTTCTTTGTAGATTTTGTCTTTCCTCTTCTTGTTCTCAATTCAAAATTGTCTAAATCAATGCAGACTTTTAATTGTGGCAGGAGACATGTACCTATCAAACAAGTCCTTGCATATAAGTATTCTCTGTACAACCTCAAAATTGCAAAGTTTGATCCATACTTGTATAGTACCACAGATGTCCAGAGGTTTACCATTAGCAGACGCAGCAATTTCATGAAATCTATCCAATACACACTTTTGATCTGATGATAATGGTGATGTGCTCATAGACTGGTTCGAACATCAGCAACTGCTCAATCTAAACAACCCAAGCCTTATTATTATGGATAACAGCCGGGAACCAGATGCTTGGACCGATGCGCATGTTATCAATCACTGGATTGTCTGGTCCAGACACCATTATTTACAGACCGCCGTCATATAGCTGGAATATTGCGGAGCGCGGCGTCAAACAACAAACAAGCAAGCAAGGTTGACCAATTGTCGGCATCCCGTCTCAGTGCCCGGAGTTGGAACCACATCACAGTTTTAAGGTAGATAGTTTATGGATGTCAACTTCTTTATTATGAGGAACACAACGTTTTGGAGTATATGCTTACTCCTTCATCAGGTGAACGAAAGCCACGAGGCAAAGAGGATATATATGTACAGGTAAGGACAACAAAATTAGAAACATAACAAAAGGTGGAAAATAACAAAGGGCAGACACAAGGGAAGACAACTGATGACTGGCGCTGATGGTGATTAGCAATGGACATCCATAAATTCTCTTCCTCATGTGTATCAGTTTTAAAAGCCTTTCGAAGACCGAATTACAGTTTTAGATAAATAAAATGCAATCAAATACGGGACCGCAATATCAGGTGAACACATTTCAGATATTCAGGTGAACTTTCTTGTCCTGGGTCCCACTATGGACATGATACAGTTGCCCTCGAAACACACCTCCGACAATTCTGTTATTATTCTGTTGATCAATGATTTGTAACAGAGTCAAAATGTTTCTATTAAGATTCGGTAGACGCTCATTGCATTGTGTTTGGACTACAATTAGTCGTCACCAATGTAGTACTATTTAATGTAAGCAGTCGTGAGGAAGTTACTATTTTTAGATGCTTGAGTGGTGTGTAAAATTCCGGTCCGGTATATCACGGACGGTGATAGTGTGTTATATAAACATGTGGACTATTCTTTGTTGTGAGGCACTGTGTAGACTTTTCCAGTAGGTAGGTAGGTAGGCTGCACGAGAACCCAACTCGTTGCCGTTACAGCTTGAGAGGCACTGTGACGTACTTATATACTTTTTTATGGAAATTGTGTGAATGGTGTGTGCTACCGGAAGTGCAGGACATCGTTCCCTTTTCCCGAACACCTGGTGTCATCACTGATTTTCAGTGATCCATTGATATTATTTTTACAGCTATTTACGCCAAATGGAATCTGTGTCGGTGGATAATCTTAGTCTGGCTATTCTCTTGTATTGACTATTTCTATGATAAGATTATAGCCGTCGTAGGTACAGCTCTACTGAACTGGCTAACCGTGTTCTGGTGCTAGGCTATGTCTTTGAACACAGTACAATGCTCGAGTGAAAAACATATACGTGTAGTAGCGAATGTCCACTAAAACCCAACTCCTTGCAGATACAGCTAGAGTGGCACTGTATAAAGAGCATTTTCACAATATCCAGTTGGACCGCACATGGTCGGAGCTACTTAATCGCCATAGGTATTGTCTCTTGAATGTCAACGAGGTCAGTTGTTGAATAACTGATAACTGTTATATACCGCAAACCACGTATGGCAATGCATGTCACAATTCTATAAAAGCATTTGTTGAAAAGATTTGCATTGCACAATTTACGTTTTTTTCTGACCGCTAAAGCTTACATTTAGTTTATATTTTTGAATGTATTTATAAATCCTGTATTGCGAAGACACACGTATATCCGCCCACTCCCATCTACGCAAACTCCATATGGATCCTCAGCCCCATCTTGTAATGTTAAAATGTCCCTAACAAACTGACCCGTTTCAGTCAGATGTAGAACTCTGCGCTGCAAGTTGTCTGTAACCAGGATGTCGCCTGTGTTGGTACTCGTTATACCACACGGCCACCCCATGGCCGCGTCTCCTGTAGGTCTGTAGTTGAACACGACATCTCCCCCGGGGGTCAGACACATCACCGAGTTGGATTCACCATCAGACACCAGGATGTTCCCTGTCCTGGTGGTACATAGGAAAGTGGGATACTTTAAAATGTCCCGACCATTGTGCAGTGGACTGATGGACGTCAGCACGTTTCCTGTCATGTCCAGGATATCAATACAGGGAGGAGACCGGGCACCTACTGCTAGTGTTGATGGTGTCAGAGCAGTTATCCCCATGTACTGTTTGCTAGTTGTGATTGTGGACAGAAGCACCAGGTCAGGGTTGACGTCTACTGTTACAATCTGCTTTGTGTCTGGCACTGTTACAGCTACACGTGTTTGTGTCAGAACTGTCAGACCCCATGGGCCACTGTGAAGATCTAACACCCCGTGATGTGGCAAGCTCTTCGTTGTATAGAAGGACTTCACGTTGTTGTTGTCGTAGTCTGTGACGACAACTGTGTCCTCGCTGTTCACCACCAGCACTGCCACATCGGTAGGTCCTGCTGCACTCTCGCTGTCTGATAATCTGACGTCCATGGAGTCGTGTAATTCGTGAGTGGTATTCAGGCCCAACACATCCTCATACATGACATCTAGGACGCCCAGGAGGCTGTTGTGTTGTGATCTGTCTTGTCTGAAAATGACCTTGACTATTCTTCCCCTCTCCTTCAGGTCTGCGTCTCCGACAGCCTCCACATCACCAGCCTCACATCCCTGATACATCTCATACACATCCATGTCACACTCAGATTGTAGAGCCTGGTCTATCAGCTCCGCCTGTTGTTGGTACATCTGTACTGACATCTCACCTGACTTTATGTCTGCTTTCAGTTGTCCAAGGTGTTTGTCTGACATCTCTTTCAGTTCATCCAGAAGTTTCCGTTCCTTTAGTTTTATTTGCTGTATTAATTCAATACTGGCGGTCTTGATGTCTGCTTCTGTTTGGGAATACCGAACTGTTTCTTTATTCACGTTTACTTTTTGCTTTGGTAGCTGTGAGTTTGTCTCATTTTGACGATTTTGCAACCCTCTTTTCTTCTTGCTCAGTTTCATTTTCATGGCTGGTATTTCGGACTCGATCGAGACAATTGAGGCGCATCTTCTGTGATAGAAAGTGCAACATTTATGACAAATTGCAATGTTACAATCTTTACAGAGAGCTTCAAGATATTCTTTCTGATGTTCGTGACATATGAGCTTTCGTTGTCTCGTGACCTTGACCTCTCCTGACAGGTTATGCAACTCATGATGGCGGGAAGCTGGATTACGTTTGTGCATCCTTGCACACCGCTCACATATTGCATCATCACAGACAGAACACCAAACAACAGTCTGAGTTGTCTCCCCTTCCTCTCTACAATAACCGCAATTAGTGGAATCTGAAACATTGTAGAACAAGACATGCTTTGTGTTTTGGTTTGTTGTTTAACGCACTCAGCAATATTCCAGCTATATGACGGCGGTCTGTAAATAATCGATTCTGGACCAGACAATCCAGTCATTAAGATCATAAGCATCGATCCACCCAATTGGGATCGATGACATGCATCAACCAAGTCAGCGAGCCTGACCACCCGATCCGTATGTCGTCTTTTATGACAAGCATAATCACCTTTTACTGCAAGCAAGGGTTGCTGAAGACCTATTCTACCCCGGAATCTTCACGGGTCACATGCTTTGTGATTGTTGATTCTGGAATGAATCTGGACTTTCAGTAAATAGAAAAACACTTTGCGGAGTTACAGGTTTTGTTAAATATTTGATTGAAATTGAACTAGAATGTCTTTGCATCAAATACTCAGTAACATCCGTAACTCTAGATTTGCATACTGTTTTTCGTCATTGCAAAATGCAAAAAGATCTCTGCAGTATCTCTCCGAATGAACTCTTACCATTGTGTTGTGCTGAACATGCTTAAGCTGTGCCCCTATCATAATGTATCCATCCATAAACATCCGTGGTAACAAAGGCCTTCAGCAACCCATGTAAAGGGAGACTTAGCTTGGTGTAAGACGCGACTAACGTGATCGGATGGTCAGGATCACTGACTTTGTTGATGCATATCATCGTATCCAATTGCGTAGATCGATGTTCACGATGTCAATCACTGGATTATATACAGGCCACCGTCCCATAGCTAGAATATTGCTTGGTGCGGCGTTACACAACAACCAAACAAACAAACACAAAAACGTCAGTCAATTGAGCAAAACTATTCGCTGTGACTAGTCACTAAATTATGCAGGGGTCTGTGACCTTTCGAAAATAGACATACTTCATGAACGTGCGGGGGTCAAGTATTTGCAGAAAAACGGCTCAACATCAAAAGCCACCCTTGAAGAGTACGACACCACGGAAGGACGATCCTTCCTAAGCCACGGAAAAGAGGTGAGCAGTTGAGTTTAAGCATGGTAGGTTGAGTCTTGAAGACGACCCCGGCCTGGAGGGGTTGTGGCGTCAAAATCACCAGAAATGATCTAAGCTATCCACGATATGATGATGACCCAGTAGAGAAAGACTGAGTGTCATATTTTTAGTTCAGCAGGCATTTCCCAGGAGGAGTATATTCCATTATGACAAAAATCCTGGCAATGAAGACGGTAACAGAAGACGGCTTCCACAGCTTCTGACATATGATCATTAACGCACCAGGCACAATGTCTCGTGATAATCTAGCTCTGTATGAAGCTCACCCAGGTACTTTCTTGCAACGATTAGTTACAGATGAAACCTCGGTTCACCACCACAATCAAAACAGTGAAACCATTTGACACTTTAACCACAATCAAAACAGTGAAACCATATGACACCCCACCACAATCAAAACAGTGAAACCATATGACACCCCACCACAATCAAAACAGTGAAACCATTTGACACTCCCACCACAATCAAAACAGTGAAACCATATGACACCCCAACACAATCAAAACAGTGAAACCATTTGACACTCCCACCACAATCAAAACAGTGAAACCTTTTGACACTCCCACCACAATCAAAACAGTGAAACCATTTGACACTCCCACCACAATAAAAACAGTGAAACCATTTCACACTCCCACCACAATCAAAACAGTGAAACCTTTTGACACTCTCGCCACAATCAAAACAGTTAAACCTTTTGACACTCCCACCACAAAAGAGGGCAACAACTGTCCCATCAGATGAAAAGGTTATTACCTCCGTGTTCTGGGATGCTGAGGGTCATCATCGGGACTTTTGACTATCTTTCAAAAGACCAGACAATAAACAGGGCATAACGTGCTACGCGTTTGAGGCAATGATGGGATGAAATTAAGACTAAGAGACGTGGAACGCAGAGGAAGGGTGTGTTCTTCCACCAGGACACTGCGCCTGTGCACAAATCAGTCATTGCCATGGCAACAATCCACAAATGTGGCTTTGAACTCCTTCAGCGTCCTCCTTACTGTCCTGATCTGGCTCTGAGACCTCCATCTGAATGAAGCTCCAGCTGGAGCACATTTCGACTCCAACGATGACATCATAGCTCCTCATGACAGCCAAGAGACTTCTACGAAACTAGGATAAAATACCCTTCATGTGGAAAGGGATTATCTTGAAAATGTTCCCAACATTTCTTTCCTCTCCGACGTGAAGCAGGTTTATCGTTAGAAGTGCGAGTATGGTTTTACGCCGCTTTTAGCAATATTCCAGCAATGTCACGGCGAGGCACCAGAAATGGGTTTCACACATTTTACCCATGTCGGGAATCGAACCCGGGTCCTCGGCGTGATAAGCGAACGCTTTAACCACTAGGCTACCCGACCGCCCTCGTAAGAAGTAGGTAGATGTTGCAACAAAAGGGGGCATAACTCGTCAGATAAATTATGTAACTCTCCTAGCAAAATATGAATTTGTTATATTTATTAGCAGTATATATTTTATAATGATGAGAAAACAATAATGAAATGAAAAAGCAATAAACGGACGGTTAAAAACCGTAAGAAGCAATGATTACAATAGTTACAATGCGAATAGTAATACTTAAATCCTTATTATTCATCATCACATACATTCAGATCTTATAGACTGTGTTACAAAAAGAAACTTATTTGTGTTCCGTTTCCACCTCGGTTCGGTCAAATGGGCTTTTCTTTTATACGTGAGTGAGGTATACTTGAACATCGAATCTACTGTTCAGAAACCTACTGGTCAAAGCGGCGTGAAAACCCAACTCACTACTACTACTTCTACTAGTGCTGCTGCTGTTACTACTACTACTACGACGACGACGACTGTTACTACCGCTGCTGCTACTACTACTACTAGAACGACTGCTACCACTATTGCTGCTGCTACTACAACTCCTACTACTGCTGCTACTACTACGACTGCTTCTACTACTGCTGCTGCTACTCCTACTACTACTGCTGTTGCTTCTACTACTGCTACGACTGCTACTGCAGCTGCTGGTTTTACTACTACTACGACTACTGCTGCTACTACTGCTGCTACTACTACTACTCCTACTACTGCTGCTACTACTACTACTACTACTACTACTACTACGACTGCTACTAATACTGCTGCTACTACTACTACTGCTGCTGTTGCTGCTACTACTACTACGACTGGTACTACAGCTGCTTCTTCTACTACTTCTACTACTGCTGCTGCTGCTTCTACTACTACGACTGCTACTACTACCGCTGCTGCTACTACTACTACTTCTACGACTGCTACCACTATTGCTGCTGGTACTACAACTCCTACTACTGCTGCTACTACTACGACTGCTACTACTACTGCTGCTGCTACTCCTACTACTACTGCTGTTGCTTCTACTACTGCTATGACTGCTACTGCAGCTGCTGGTTCTACTACTACGACGACTACTGCTGCTACTACTGCTGCTACTACTACTACTGCTACTACAGCTGCTACTACTACTGCTCCTGCTGCTGCTACTACTACTACGACTGGTACTACAGCTGCTACTTCTACTACTACTACTACTGCTGCTGCTTCTACTACTACGACTGCTACTAATACTGCTGCTACTACTACTACGACTGCTACTACAGCTGCTACTACTACTACTGCTGCTGTTGCTGCTACTACTACTACGACTGGTACTACAGCTGCTTCTTCTACTACTTCTACTACTGCTGCTGCTGCTTCTACTACTACGACTGCTACTACTACCGCTGCTGCTACTACTACTACTACTACGACTGCTACCACTATTGCTGCTGGTACTACAACTCCTACTACTGCTGCTACTACTACGACTGCTACTACTACTGCTGCTGCTACTCCTACTACTACTGCTGTTGCTTCTACTACTGCTACGACTGCTACTGCAGCTGCTGGTTCTACTACTACTACGACTACTGCTGCTACTACTGCTGCTGCTACTACTACTACTGCTACTACAGCTGCTACTACTACTGCTGCTGCTGCTGCTACTACTACTACGACTGGTACTACAGTTGCTACTTCTACTACTACTACTACTGCTGCTGCTTCTACTACTACGACTGCTACTACTACTGCTGCTACTACTACTACTCATACTACTGCTGCTACTACTACTGCTGCTGCTACTACTACTACTGATACGGCTGCTACTACAGCTGCTGCTATTACTACTACTAGAGAAAGAACCCACACAGATGTTGTTCTGATTTCGCTGAGCTGTGTGACACGTTCATTTTATAACTGGGATTGAGAAAAAATATACTTGTCGTTAAAAGCATGCATACGCAGTGAACACTCCAGAACATTTCCGGAATTAAACCCAATTTGACACACTCTGATTAATTTTACAATTATGTACTAAACGTATATATAGACGATGATTGCATATTTTTGGGCAATGCCTTACATGGCACATACATTTTGTTTTAGTATTGGCTGTATATAATCTACCTGTAGAATCCGGACCAAATGAGTCCAAGAGTCCCTGGATGACAAAGCTAGGTTTGACGTCATCCGCCCACTCCTCCACTGGTCTCTCAGGAGCAGACACTTTCGTCATCTTGTTGCAGAATGCACAGAGGAGGGACTTGGCTCTGATGGCTTCTGGTCTGGTCTTGGTGTAGTTGACGACACATTTCCGACAGAAGGTGTGATTGCACACAAGTGTACAGGGCTTGTCAAACATCTCGTGACATTTGACACATGTCAGACAATTTTCTATTCCCTTTTGTGAGGTCGCCATCTGAAATGTGATACATTATATTGTATATTATGCCTTTACATGCAGTATGGCCATTCAACAGCTTCTCTCTTGTAAATCAACCGTGGCGTATCTATCGGGGGGAGCGGGGTGAAATGGAGTTTAACAATGCGATGAAGACTATTTTACTGATATTGCTGGGTGCATCGACGTGTGTGTGTGGCTTCGTGTACTAGTCCAGACTTACATGCCCAAGTGCTAGCCCACTGAGATACCATGCGCAGGTTAACATAGATGCCCCACTCAGACATAGTATACGGACTCTGAGCCGCCCTTTCCCCTTTAGGCAAAGCACAACGGAAGTAAACTATAGGACTATAGGAATTACATTATGATTTGTGTCGTGACTGTGAGATCGGTTTGTGTAACGACGAAGCCTTGTGTTCATGAAGAAATTAAACATTAGACATTACTCCTTTTATAGAAAACCACTTCAGTTTTTTCTCTAGAGTGTAGGGTAGCAACGTTTTAATGATGAGTACCCGCAGTATAGCATTCCTCCCTTCGACGTGTGACATTTATGTTAAGATCACGTGATCTAAGTCACGTGAGCTCATGTCGTGGCGCGTTCGTCGTAAACCTCTACATTGCGACATGAAACCACGAGGGCTGTGCTACGTAGCTGCAATGTCGCATCGATTATCCTAGAGTGAGTGAGTGAATATGGTTTTACGCCGCTTTTACAATATTCAAGCAATATCACGGCGGGGGACACCAGAAATGGGCTTACCACATTGTACCCATGTCGGGAATCGACCCGGGTCTTCGGCGTGACGAGCGAATGCTTTAACCACTAGGCTACCCGACCGCCCCGATTTTCCTAGATAAAACATGCTTATGAACATCGAATCGACTCCTCCACTGCACCCTTAATGACCTTCTATATGAGTCAGGTTGCAGTTCATTGTCACAGGTCACCCCTGATCGCGCTGATGACGTCAGTGGGGAATACCCTGCCATTGAATGCGGTTAAAGATAGCACCTCATTCACGGTATCGTATGTTTGGGTTGCAGTGCAGAACACAGAATTGACATGAAATTATGTCAATTTGCATTCATCTGTCGGTGAAACATCCTACATTGAGGGTATCCATAGAGCTATTGTACCAGGATGCAATGTATATAGGCCATGTTTGGTGTCCCCCGCCGTGATATTGAGGGAATATTGCTCTAAGCGGCGAAAACCATACTCACTCACTCACTCACTCACTCACTCATTCATATGTATGTTAAAGTTCAAGTTTTCATTACACCTGAAGAGCGTCGACTGCAGCTATCTATTCAATAGCTTCATGTCTGTCACTAGATACCGCTCCATAATACTACCCGCAGAAATAGCTCTGTCGTGCCAACAGACAGCACACAAGCGAAGCTACGTTCTCACGCATTACAAATAGCCGTATAGTACACATAACAATAAACTCCCACTGACCTCTGTATGTGATGAAATGTTTCCACAAATAACCAGCGTGAATATTCTCACGATCACACAGGTGGGGCAGCATACCCGTCTTCCTTATCGACTACCGTACACCTTGGTTGTAGCGGGTACCTGATCTATGTAGGCCATATACCTTGTGCTTACTCAGCCGTGAACAGGAATGTAGCTTTGTTGTTCCTATTGGTGTTGAAACCAATATGCTGTACTGTTATGCTACAGTGTAGGGGCAAGGATATATGTGGCCCTGTAAGATCAAACCATAGAGGAGTAATCTGTCTACCAGAAAGGAATAAATAAAGTCATTGATCCCTAAAAACACATTATGAGGCACAGAGATACACAATTCTTCCCATAAGCATACGTCTGCGCTTAACGTCCATACTACGATTCCTTTAGCATGTGTTTATGAATCACTCAAATAGTGAGGATACCAGGTGATGATGAGGGTGAGATTATCCTGCCCAATGTCAGGTCAAGCAGGAGACATTGTCTCTGTGGAATATAGTTATGTTGTTAGGGCAAGCAGTAAACATTGTTTCTGTGGAATATAGTTATGTTGTTAGGGCAAGCGGGAGCCATTGTCTCTGTGGAATATAGTTATGTTGTTAGGGCAAGCAGTAAACATTGTCTCTGTGGAATATAGTTATGTTGTTAGGGCAAGCAGTAAACATTGTCTCTGTGGAATATAGTTATGTTGTTAGGGCAAGCAGGAGCCATTGTCTCTGTGGAATATAGTTATGTTGTTAGGGCAAGCAGTAAACATTGTCTCTGTGGAATATAGTTATGTTGTTAGGGCAAGCAGTAAACATCGTCTCTGTGGAATATAGTTATGTTGTTAGGGCAAGCAGTAAACATTGTCTCTGTGGAAAATAGTTATGTTGTTAGGTCAAGCAGTAAACATTGTCTCTGTGGAATATAGTTATGTTGTTAGGGCAAGCAGGAGACACTGTCTTTGTGGAAAATAGTTATGTTGTTAGGGCAAGCAGTAAACATTGTCTCTGTGGAATATAGTTATGTTGTTAGGGCAAGCATGAGTCATTGTCTTTGTGGAATATAGTTATGTTGTTAGGGCAAGCAGGAGCCATTGTCTCTGTGGAATATAGTTATGTTGTTAGGGCAAGCAGTAAAACATTGTCTCTGTGGAATATAGTTATGTTGTTAGGGCAAGCAGTAAACATTGTCTCTGTGGAATATAGTTATGATGTTAGGGCAAGCAGGAGCCATTGTCTCTGTGGAATATAGTTATGTTGTTAGGGCAAGCAGGAGCCATTGTCTCTGTGGAATATAGTTATGTTGTTAGGGCAAGCAGTAAACATTGTCTCTGTGGAATATAGTTATGATGTTAGGGAAAGCAGTAAACATTGTCTCTGTGAAATATAGTTATGATGTTAGGGCAAGCAGGAGCCATTGTCTCTGTGGAATATAGTTATGTTGTTTGAGCAAGCATGAGCCATTGTCTCTGTGGAATATAGTTATGATGTTAGGGCAAGCAGTAAACATTGTCTCTGTGGAATATAGTTATGTTGTTAGGGCAAGCAGTAAACATTGTCTCTATGGAATATAGTTATGTTGTTAGGGCAAGGAGTAAACATTGTCTCTGTAGAATATAGTTATGATGTTAGGGCAAGCATGAGCCATTGTCTCTGTGAAATATAGTTATGTTGTTAAGGCAAGCACGAGCCATTGTCTCTGTGGAATATAGTTATGTTGTTAGGGCAAGCAGTAAACATTGTCTCTGTGGAATATAGTTATGATGTTAGGGAAAGCAGTAAACATTGTCTCTGTGGAATATAGTTATGATGTTAGGGCAAGCAGGAGCCATTGTCTCTGTGGAATATAGTTATGTTGTTAGGGCAAGCAGTAAACATTGTCTCTGTGGAATATAGTTATGTTGTTAGGGCAAGCAGTAAACATTGTCTCTTTGGAATATAGTTATGTTGTTAGGGCAAGCAGTAAACATTGTCTCTTTGTAATATAGTTATGATGTTAGGGCAAGCAGGAGCCATTGTCTCTGTGGAATATAGTTATGTTGTTAGGGCAAGCAGGAGACATTGTCTCTGTGGAATATAGTTATGTTGTTAGGGCAAGCAGTAAACATTGTCTCTGTGGAATATAGTTATGTTGTTAGGGCAAGCAGGAGACATTGTCTCTGTGGAATATAGTTATGTTGTTAGGGCAAGCAGTAAACATTGTCTCTGTGGAATATAGTTATGTTGTTAGGGCAAGCAGGGGCCATTGTCTCTGTGGAATATTGTTATGTTCTTAGGGCAAGCAGAACACATTGTCTCTTTGGAATATAGTTATGTTGTTAGGGCAAGCAGTAAACATTGTCTCTTTGTAATATAGTTATGATGTTAGGGCAAGCAGGAGCCATTGTCTCTGTGGAATATAGTTATGTTGTTAGGGCAAGCAGGAGACATTGTCTCTGTGGAATATAGTTATGTTGTTAGGGCAAGCAGGAGCCATTGTCTCTGTGGAATATAGTTATGTTGTTAGGGCAAGCAGTAAAACATTGTCTCTGTGGAATATAGTTATGTTGTTAGGGCAAGCATGAGCCATTGTCTCTGTGGAATATAGTTATGTTGTTAGCGCAATCAGGAGTCATTGTCTCTGTGGAATATAGTTATGTTGTTAGGGCAAGCAGTAAAACATTGTCTCTGTGGAATATAGTTATGTTGTTAGGGCAAGCATGAGCCATTGTCTCTGTCGAATATAGTTATGTTGTTAGGGCAAGCAGTAAACATTGTCTCTGTGGAATATAGTTATGTTGTTAGGGCAAGCAGTAAAACATTGTCTCTGTGGAATATAGTTATGTTGTTAGGGCAAGCAGGAGCCATTGTCTCTGTGGAATATAGTTATGTTGTTAGGGCAAGGAGTAAACATTGTCTCTGTGGAATATAGTTATGTTGTTAGGGCAAACAGGAGCCATTGTCTCTGTGGAATATAGTTATGTTGTTAGGGCAAGCAGTAAAACATTGTCTCTGTGGAATATAGTTATGTTGTTAGGGCAAGCAGTAAACATTGTCTCTGTGGAATATAGTTATGTTGTTAGGGCAAGCAGGAGCCATTGTCTTTGTGGAATATAGTTATGTTGTTAGGGCAAGCAGGAGCAATTGTCTCTGTGGAATATAGTTATGTTGTTAGGGCAAGCAGTAAACATTGTCTCTGTGGAATATAGTTATGATGTTAGGGCAGGCAGTAAACATTGTCTCTGTGGAAAATAGTTATGTTGTTAGGGCAAGCAGTAAACATTGTCTCTGTGGAATATAGTTATGTTGTTAGGGCAAGCATGAGCCATTGTCTCTGTGGAATATAGTTATGTTGTTAGGGCAAGCAGTACACATTGTCTCTGTGGAATATAGTTATGTTGTTAGGGCAAGCAGTAAACATTGTCTCTGTGGAATATAGTTATGTTGTTAGGGCAAGCAGTAAACATTGTCTCTGTGGAATATAGTTATGTTGTTAGGTCAAGCAGGAACCGTTGTCTCTGTGGAATATAGTTATGTTGTTATATCAAGCAGTAAACATTACCACAGTGTACTGTAGGTTCGTTTCTATATCAAACAGAAAACATTGTTACTGTCAGGCAGTTAATATTATTCAGTTATATCTTTTACAGATTTACTAAGTAACATATTCACCTTTGAAGAATTGACATTCACAATCCACTCCCTCAGAAAGTGTACCCCCTACAATGACCTACCACTATCATGTCACATGGTGAAGACATCAGTGCTGCAGTGTCCCCACTGTGGCAAGTTCATATACTATAGTCTTGTATTACCGAGTCGGGTTTAACTATCTTCTTATGTTACCCATACATGTTTAACTATCTTATTATATAACCCATATTTTTTAACTATCTTCTTATATTACCCATACATGTTTAACAATCTTCTTATATTACCCATACATGTTTAACTACCTTCTGATATTATCCATACATGTTTAACTATCTTCTTATATTACCCATACATGTTTAACTATCTTCTTATATTACCAATACATGTTTAACTACCTTCTGATATTACCCATACATGTTTAACTATCTTCTTATATAACCAATACACGTTTAACTATCTTCTTATATTACCCATACATGTTTAACTATCTTCTAATATACTCATACATGTTTAACTATCTTCTTATATTACCCACATGTGTTTACCTATCTTCTTATACTACCTACTTTAATTCTCTGTCTCTGTGATGCGTTATCTCAACCTCTGTGATGCCTTATCTCTGTCTCTGTGATGCCTTATCTCAATCTCTGTGATGCCTTATCTCAATCTCTGTGGTGCCTTATCTCTGTCTCTGTGATGCCTTATCTCTGTCTCTGTGATGCCTTATCTCTGTCTCTGTGATGCCTTATCTGTGTGATGCCTTATCTCTGCCTCTGTGATGCCTTAACCCTGTTTCTGTGATGCCTTATCCCTGTCTCTGTGATGCCTTATCTCTGTCTCTGTGATGCCTTATCTCTGTGATGCCTTATCTCCATCTCTGTGTTGCCTTATCTCTGTCTCTGTGATGCCTTATCTCTGTCTCTGTGATGCTTTATCTCTGTCTCTCTGATGCCTTATCTCTGCCTCTTTGATGCCGTATCACGGTGATGCCTTATCTCCATCTCTGTGATGCATTATCTCTGTCTCTTTGATTCCTTATCTCTGTCTCTGTGATGCTTTATCTCTGTCTCTGTGATGCATTATCTTTGTCTCTTTGATGCCTTATCTCTGTCTCTGGGATGCCTTATCTCT